ATTCCGCTTGTATAGCTGTTCTAAGAGGGTTTTGCCAATGTTCTTACAGTATACAATGCTGTGTAAGGAATACTGTATAATCATTCTTGCAACTCTAATAGGAGTGATAATTTTTAGTTGGATTCTTAACGATACAACGTCTTTAAATAATAATAAGACGTTACGTTTACAATTCGCCCTATAGTCCCTAACCTCCATGTTTCATTCCAACCAAAAAAATTCCGAGAATGATCTCGAGAACCACTGAAACATCAGAAAACGAAGTTTAAGCGATTTTTATTTTTTCTTGTGTTTGCCCTAGCTCCACCACTACTAGATCGATTTTTCATCCTTGGCATAGTAGTAAACTGTGAAAATTTCATCAAAATCCGAGTTATAGGCGGTTATAAAATTAGCGGATAGACCGACGGAAATGAATGCCATGTTTTTTTCGTGACGGACGTCATATAAAATCCAAAAAACATAATATCTCAATTTAAAATCTCTTATTTCGCAATTTTTGTAGCTGAAATACATAGTTAAGGAGAAAAGACATTTTAAATTCGTACATTGAAAGAAAACACATCTGAATTCCACATATTTCCTGTCGAAAGAATTATTTTTTTTATTACAGATATTGATAAAGTGCAACCATAGATTTCATGTTAAATTGCCAATGGAAGTTAAAGGCTGAGGATGAGAGGATGTGCACAGGACGTAAAAAGCTCATCAAGTCTCAGAATTTATTACTTTACAATTTTTGTGCAGAATCTTAGATATAAATCTTGTACAAGTTTTGCCAATACTTATTTATAAAAAGACTAAAACACTCAGAACGTGTCTCTGGAGGCAAAATATTTTTATGTCATTGAAATAAATTTTGTTGTGTATACCCCATTAGCGTATCAACATCTTTACCTTCATTATAGCATTACGTCGGTACTTAGTTCTTTTTTGAGCATTTGCATTAGTATAAAAAGCCTTGAAAAATTGTCCACTCGGAATCTTTTAAATCAAGTGCGTTTGAGATCCCGTACACAACCTTTTCCATAGCAGGCAAGTTGATAAAAACGTCCTCCACTAAAGAATTTTTTCCAGTTACAACCTCTGACTTCTGAGAGCCATTAAAGAGAGATTGCAGCAGCAGTAGTTAATGCGTTGCTAGCTCAATCATGAAGTGCATGCAAGGGTATAATACAGACATTGATTATATCTACAATTAATGGTGTTAATGTTAGGCTCCTCTTCAACACTCTTATCATAATAGTCACTCTGGTAAGCGCTTCCACTTATTCAAATCGCTGGGAAGGTTGTGTTTATTTATGCATTACTGGCCTTTCTATCAACACAATGTTCTAATTAATTACATTGACGCTAAGATCAAGTGTTAATTGTGGCGCGAAATTTTACGTTTGAACTTTAAAAAGTAAGTTTAACCACTCACAGAAAAAAGCCAAAAAGTAGAAACAAAATATTAATACTCGTAACCACCGAAATAAGAATGTTGTGAAACAGCTCATTGATAACCTGGGCTATAAGGAAGTCTCATGTCACAAATAGCCACTTTCTTTGATGTTTGACATTTTTCTTTCATTCACAAGATACCAGGTAAATAAGGTGCCCTCGCAATAAGGCCATGAGCGTTTTATTCATTTTAAAAACAGAATCAAAGATTTCAATCGAAATAAAGCAGCACAAAGCCCCATCTATTACCAGAATCCACCAGTGCGAGAGTGGATAACAGTTAGCGGTTGGATCTTAGTTCGTGCGGGGTAGCACATCTACAGTATATTCAGATAAGAGATAGACCGGACATAAACAAGACCACGTGATCATCGAACGCTGTAACATTCGGCAGGGACGTATTAAGAGTCACGCAGTACATATTTTAGATAGTAGATGCTTCTTTGCGTAACTTTGTAGTAAATTAGCACAATTCGATGTGTATACGATTGGTGATGGATATAGGATCATGTGGGGGTGGGGTAAGAAATATATAATGATGTAAATATACAAAAGGGTTTCAAAATTTTCGCTTCGATTTGAAGCTTCGGATGCCGCCTGATGTTTGGTGAAATACAGTCGAATATAATCTCAAAATGGCGTTTAAATTAGCCTAAATTAAAAATAATCGTATATCTCTTAAAATTGCTTTTAGAATATTGATTCGTATATTTTTTGATTTCTAGGTAACTATGTAACCAAACTAAGACGTTCAAAACGTAAAAAAATGTGCATGGTTGAACATTGTCAGAAAGTAGATTCTTGAATAGGTTTTGCCAAAATGGGTTCAAAAATGTCAATAATTAATTAAAAAATACAGTAGCTTTATAATTACTTATAACTTACCGAATTTGATGAACGACATCTTTTATTGGAAAGATGAGCTTGATGAGCTTTCATCATCGCTACTGCCTCAAGCACCAACGTCAATAATGAATGGCTCGACTTGTTCCTCTAAAATATTGTCCAGTTCCCACATTCTCTTTTCAACTTTGTCTTTCACGTGCTTAATACAGTTTTCCCATTTTTGCGCTGTTATTAATTCTAGTGCTTCTTTGAAAAGTCCTTTGAGGTCACAAAATTTAAAAGTTGTATTGTGCTTAGCTATATAATTTATTTTTAACCTCTGTCCATATGAGCTCAATGGGATTGAGCTCGCAATGGTATGGAGGTAAACGGAGCACAGTTTTATTTTGACTTGCTGCCATTTCGTCAATGGCGTATTTTTGATATTCCGCCTTGTGGTCCTTGACAATTCTTAATAATTGTACTTTCAGCATTGCTTCTTCAAAGTTGATATTTTTCGAGCGGAGCCAATTTTGAACATCAACTTTCCTTGAAGCCGTTGTTGGGACCTTCTCCATTCTTCGAGAATGATAAGGCGCATTATCCAACACAATTACTGCGTTTTCCTCTAAGTTCGGTAAAATTTTTGAAAACCACTGTTCAAACGATTCGCCATTCATTTCCTCGTGGTAATCTCCAGTTTTCTTAGACTCAAAGCACCACAGACCATCAACAACAAATCCATCCTCACTGCCAATATGGCAGATAATGAGCCTTTTCCATTTACCTGGAAATCGAAGTACTAACTGGTGTAGATTTATTTCAATAAGCGAACCTTTTCAAATGTTTTCATCACATTCAGCGAAAAAACATTGAGACATGAGTATCAGATTGCTATAATTGGGATTATTTAGTCATATTGAAAGAAAGAATATTGAACGTCGTATGATTACTCAGCGCTTCACAATTTAATTTAAAGTTATAAACCTTTAAAAAATGAATGATCAGGAACCTGAAATACGCGCAAATATTAATATTAACAAATTATAACTTTATAAAGCTTAAAGTATGAATTAAAATGATTAGAAATATTAGGAACGGTACACAATATAAAACTTAGTAACTTTTTTTAAGTTTATAATATTCGACATATTTTAAGATTATATTAAAAAATTATTGAAATATCGAAAACACATAAAAACATGGCTTAAAAAAGTTCTAACAAATGAAAATGACAATAAAACATCCACGCATTTTATCGAAAGTTATAAAAGTTTTGTTACTTGTAATATGTTTTATCTGCCCCCTGGAATTAATGTTTAGAACCTTGTTCCCAAGGTTTGAAAAACATCCGATTGTTGTCTATTACTCGTATTTACCTGCTGGATTTTTTAATCCGGTGGACAGTCCATCTAGAAAGGCCCTCCTGGATGAAGTTACAGAATCATCAACCCATACTTTACTTGTAGTGTGTCCTGCGTTTACCCACGTTTCATCAAGGTAATAAATCTTCCTGTTTTGATTTCTATATTTCCCAATTTTGTTAAATAATCCCTCCTCCATAGCACAATTTCTTCTCTATCCAGTAGGAAACTATTACGACCCCGTTTTTTCCATTTGAAATTTAAATGCTTCAGTAACGCATGGAAAGTTGATCGTTTGAAATTTGACAACGTTGTTATCTATAGTAGGTATTTCATTCCTAAAGAAGATTTCATGCACTTTCCTCCTAATCGCATGCTTATCAGCTTCATCCAATGATTTAACAATACTTTTGCGATGTTTACTGGTCATTGGCTCAGAAAAGGTGTGATTTTTTTTGTATTGTCTTAACACATTAAACACTGATGCGCGACACACCCCAACTTTGTGAGAAACCTTCACAATTTCTTTGATGGTTGATGCCTCGTTCTCCTCGCGCTCGATCTTATATATATTCAAAATGACCTCTTTCATTTCTGCACTCAGGTGTCTTTTTTAGAGCGTTTCCTAGGTGGACTACAGGAGTTTACAACTTCATCGGCAGTATCTGTACTACTGGGCATTTTGCGCAAGCAGTTGATAACAATAACAATCAATAACAAGGTATCACAATAACAACGACAAACTCAACAACTTAATAAGATAACAAACGAAAACGTCCAAAGAAATATCAAATTGCAATGATGCACACGACATACGTAACACGTCTGAACCTGAATGTGACTCTGCCTTGATACGACTGCTCTGCCGCTCGGCATTGGCATTTAATTGCGAATTGACCAATGAGGGCTCCTGTTTTACGTCGAGACGGCGGCGTTAGCGTGAAAATCACCCGAACCTTTTGTTTACATCCGGTCTATCTCTTATCTGAATATACTGTACTATAACCATCAGAATCGTCTGCCTCTTGCAGTCAGAGTGATGACTTGGCTATCAAAAGCGAATTGGAATATTTACAATTGCAATCAATAGCTGCTATACACTCTCGCAGAGGTCAATTCTGATAAAAGATGATACCCTGCACTGCCTTACTTCAATACATCTCGTACCTCGGATAGAGGATAGTTGCTATGCTTTCCTTCGTTGGCCCAGAGGCCAAGCCTAAACCATGCTGATGAGTTGCCGAAAAGCACGAAACAGTTGTACAGTGTACAGGGTTGTCTGCCTTTGGTCGGACGGATAAAAGCAGCATATTTATTTCTAACATTTCAAAGTACTAGAAATTTAAAACATTTCAGAGTTTGACTTACCCCAGATGCCACGTTGTGTCTGCAACTATCCGCATGCCCATTACATACGCACTGTCCCCAAACCACGACATCTCTGATGGAATAGAACAAACTCTTCTCTCTTCTGGCCGCGTTTTGGGATGTCCACCATTTTGGTAGTGGTTCCTTGGTACCTCGAAGTCCCTCGAAGCGGAACCTCACGAACCTGGCTGTTACGAAGTCCAAAAGGGCGTCCGTGGTTTCGTTCGCACCTGGACGGCTTTGAATCAGCGATAGATGGATCTGGAAAAATAGAGAATTACTGTGATGTTTAATTGAGTTTAAGAGTTTTTTATTCATTTTTTTATTAGCGAACTAGAAGGTTTTTCGAATACTGACAGAATGCGGGCCGCCGTTGTTTGGAATTTACGGGACGATGACTGAGGGTGACGTGACTGGCACATCCAAAACAACAGAAATCTCATGCTCGCGTGTCGCTTTAGAAGCTCTGGAAGTTTTTGGTTGCGAGAATGCCGAGCCTAGGCAGACATTTACAAATCAAAATTTAGGAAACTTCGATTTTCTTCATTTTTACTTTTTTACTTCAAAATATAGTCTAATGTGTGTCTGAAACACATTGAGAAAATTATTACTGACTATGCTGACTGACTGACTATATCTATTAGCTGTGCCAGACGGGTTATTTGTGTTGTTCTTTTTGAAGAGAGGTTATGTTATGTTCAAAGTTATACGCTACAATTTTTCCCGTTTTTTTTGTGTTTTCAAAAACATCAAGAAGAATTACAAAAAATCACCACCGCGCCCGCGATGTGTGTAATTGCTGTTAGCATGTATATGACTGGCAATTTGACAGTATACAGTGAGTATAATTATTTCTTACCTCCCTCATTTTTGAAGTCCAGCAAATTTGCATATGTAATTTCCAGAATGGATGAGAAAAAGTGGATGCGCAACTAATTTCTAGCCTTGAATCTCAAGTAAGTGCATTTGAGGCAAGAATCCAATGGAGTTGTCATCAACACACATTATTATCACACTTGACTTGCACTGTTCAAAGTTATTATATGCAGATGACCTTAAAATATACAACTATGTCAATACTATCGATGACTGCCTTGTCTTGCAGCAAGATATTATCACAGTGTCTTCATGGTGCCATGCCAATCGTCTTAACTTAAATGCGGACAAGTGCTTTCTTGTGTCTTACACAAGGAAATTAAACATCTTAAATTTAGCTACACGTTAGCCTTAAGCGTCAAGATCAAATCGATGACTTAGGAATCATATTTGATCAAAAAATGTCTTTTTCAACTCATATCGACACGACTGTTTCGTCGACTAATAGGATGTTGGGCTTTATCGTGAGGAACGCTAGAGAATTTTCTACTTCAGTACTAAATATTCTATGTATAAGTTATGTACATACGTAGCTAGTTGGAGTATGGTATCTTGATTTGGTACCTACATTGCGCAATACACATTAGTAAGATAGAACGTGTTCAGAGAAAATTTTTGAAATATATGCATTTTAAGAAAACTGGTTTATTCCCGGAAAGAGGATTTGATTACTCTTTGCTGCTGAATGAAGCATACTTTATTTCTCTTAACGCACGACGTATCTTTCTAACAACGAGTTTCTTGTACAAACTCATTCATGGGGACATAATGTGTGAATTTTTGTTAAGTAAAATTCCATTTACCGTGCCCAGACGCAACACCAGAAATTCTAGAGTATTTTATTGTGAATTCCCTAGAACCAGCGTTTTAGCTAAGTCGCCTATTTCAAATTCTTTCGCTTTTTTGTTTCCGATGCGATGAACCGATAAGGTGGATTATATCCGTTGTTGCCAAACACGAGCACATAATATTATTATTGAGACAGGGCGGTACTCAAACTTCTAAAGTGCTATAACTTTGTTACTTTAATTTTGATCAGATCTACTCACTGTTAAAATAAATGACTCAACTTCGAAGTCAACCTGTATATATGTATATATATATATATATATATATATATATATATATATACAGGGTAACTTTGAAGTTGAGTCATTAATTTTCAGATAATGATTGTAGAAGGAAGATAAACCAGAATATGTGTGTAAAAATAAAAAAAATTAAAAAAAAATGTTTACCTTGTTTTATAAAGTATCCTCCCGACAAGTATTTCAGTGCGGACCTGTATTTGATCGTGAGGTCCCCTGTGAGGTCTTAAGTCACCTGATTCACGAGCCCGTTGTACTACATTAACAAAGGCACGCGGGGTTGGTTGCACTCGATTGGGAAACCGATCCGCATAAACATGTGCCATTTTTTATTTCGTTTGAGCCACGCAACAGACACTATTCACACGCTAACCGACTGACACTGACTGTATGTATAACTGAACTGAATAAAATAATTGTAAAAACATCGTTCCAAATTCTTTCGCTTTTTTGTTTCCGATGTGATGAACCGGTAAGGCGGATTATATCCGTTGTTGCCAAACACGAGCACATGATATTATTATTGAGACAGGGCGGTACTCAAACTTCCAAAGGGCTATAACTTTGTTACTTTAATTTTACCAGAAAAATGGTAAAGGAAAAAAACATTTCTTTTGATCAGATCTACTCACTGTTAAAATAAATGACTCAACTTCGAAGTATATATAATCATTAACCCTTTTACCTTGCGGTGTTGGGTGTACATTCTTGAACATAACTTAACTAGTCTTAATAGTCTTGAACAACACTTGATATAGAAACTTCCTCCATTGTTTCTTATCCTTAGCTGTCCTTCTAGCTTGCGCCTGGGTGGCTCCTCTTCTTTGCAGAATGTCGTTTGATTCATTGTCCCACGTTTTCATTGGTCTCCCCTCTGGTCTTCTGTATTTTCTCCTTGCTTCCCATACTTGCTTCACTGGTCGGTCATGGTTCATTCTGAGCATGTGTCCAAACCATCTCAGCTGGGCCTCTTCTATTTTCTTGAGGATTGGCTGTACTTGTAGTCATTCTCGTAATACTTCATTCAGTATCCTGCTCATCCTATTTATACGCATTACCCTTCTTAAGTACTTCATCTCCATGCTTTGTAGTTTGCTCTTTAGTCTGGTGGTTAGAGTCCAGCTCTCACTTCCGAATGTCACGACAGGCACAAATACTGTTTTGTAGATACTTATTTCGGCTTCTTGTGATTCTTCTCTATTGGATAGGAACTTGTTCTTAATTGCGTGATATATTCTGGCGGCATTTGCTATTCGTGCGTTTATTTCAGCTTCTTGGGAACCCTTACTCTCTATTTGGACTCCTAGGTACTTAAATGATTCTACTTGTTCTATTACCTCATTGTTCACTTTTTTTTTGCAGATCACATTTAATATGTAACTTTTTCGAAATTTATTTTTTATTTATTCAAGTGTTTATTTTTATACAGGGTGACTTCGAAGTTGAGTCATTTATTTTAACAGTGAGTAGATCTGATCAAAAGAAATGTTTTTTCCTTAAACATTTTTCTGGTAAAATTAAAGTAACAAAGTTATAGCCCTTTAGAAGTTTGAGTACCGCCCTGTCTCAATAATAATATTATGTGCTCGTGCTTGGCAACAACGGATATAATCCGCCTTATCGGTTCATCGCATCGGAAACAAAAAAGCGAAAGAATTTGAAACGTTTATCACGATGTTTTTCGTCAGTGGGTAACGCGTGAGTGAATAGTGGTGTTTGTTGCGTGGCTCAAACGAAATAAAAAATGGCACATGTTTACGAAAATGCTAAACTTGTGGACATGATTCTTGTTTACGGGGAGGGAGTCTTTACAAAATGCTGCCGCGGCATCACAGATTTGTGCGAATCGGTTTCCCAATCGAGTGCAAGCAACCCCTCGTGCCTTTGTTAATGTAGTACAAAGGGCTCGTGAATAAGGTGACTTAAGGGGGGGCATGCCGGTGTTCCAAGACCGCACGATCAAATACAGGTCCGCACTGAAATACTTGTCGGGAGGATACTTTATAAAACAAGATAACATTTTTTAAATTTTTTTTTTATTTTTACGCACATATTTTGGTTTATCTCAAAGTAACATTAGTTATATTTTTTCTTTTACATAAAACGAAATGTTCATTTGATTTTACGCATTTCCTGTTATTGGGTTCACATGTACCTGTTGGAAATAAATGTCTATCTATCACACAAATCCTCACTATGCTTCAGTTTACACCTCCAGTTATGCCATCTTTGAAGTAGATTTTACATCATATCAGAGCCAAACATTTATGACCGAAGCCTCGTGACATTTAGGCAACACGTACAACTACAAAATGAGTTCACCAAGCATCAGGTAGTGGCAAGTTAACATCTTGTAGAAAAACCTACATAATCTCAACAAAAAAATCGGCATAATGTCACTTTTTAAGAAACGTAATACCCGTGCGGATGTGCTAAGCAATTATCATGCTCTTTCACCGTATTTCAAAATCGCTACAACCTATCATTTGAATAGCAACGTAACATTATGCTCGCCCAGAGGGGCTTTGGCGGCATATGTATTCTGCATTAGAGATAAAATCTCCCTTGAGGGGATACACCCGACATTTGTAAACAATAACTCAATGTGTTACATTTGATACAGTTCCGATTTATGTATTGAATGAGAAAGTGCTAGTTAGTGTATCACTGTTATAGGTATGCAGGACGTCCCAGAGTAAGAAGGCAGTCTGTCGAATGCTTGTTCAATACATCAAATAATTATAATGCCATGAGTTCCTATAAAAGTGTCCTACGGGCCTATACAGGCCCCTGAAGGAAGCTAGGAAACATCGATTTTTCCTATCTTAACGACATTTTATAATTCAATGAAATTAGAACAGCTTTGTAACCACTTGGGGCCTCACATAACGGCCTCAGTAAAAAACTCATTTAAACATAAATGCGCAAAAATGATAATTTACCTGAAAAACGGGCGATAAAATGACTCATTTCTGAGAAAAATTCACACAGCCATTTCTTATCATTCTATTTGGTTTATTTTTGAAAAGAAATGTTTGATAGATAAATCTAATAATGATTTTTCTAAATCACCTGACATTACATTTACCTCTCCTTTTTCTAATGATGTTAGCCTCGAGTAGGGGGAGGCATAGGTAATCTCGGAGTCAGAGGTTTAACATTGTTTCCTTTTACTCGCTCCAGAATGTCAAAAATACTTCAATAAATACTCCCATGAATAATTTGAAAAACATACTATACAGGGTGTCCGCAAAGTTGGGGTTTTACCTTTACACGACGTGTAGATCTTGAAAACATAAGCAATTTTTCTTAGTACCATATACACCAATGTCTTAAGGGAACCGAGATAAAGGGCTCTGCAACATCAAAAATATCTGAATACCGTCCTGTAGCCGCGACATCACCGACTGGTACAAGATCACTGGCTCAACCCGACGACAGAACTGGGTCGGGGTCAGTGTGTCAGGTCAGTATGCAACCTTCAACCGACGGTTACGATCACGCGTGTAGAGGTAATCGCGTAGACGAGAATCCCTCAACAAGCACTAGAGACGTGGTTAGAGAAGTGCAATTATCAAAAACTAAAGTGTGGCAAACGCTGCGTGAAGAGGGGCTGTATACGTTTCACGCCCAACGTGTACAAGCCCTTCAACCTGACGATTTTCCAGCAAGAGTGCGGTTTTGTGAGAGGTTGTCGCATCAACATGACAATAATCCGGACTTTTTAAAGTGCATATTGGTGACAGACGAATCTACGTTCACGCGTAATGGGGTGAATAACTTTCGCAACACTCATGTTTGGTCAGTAGAAAATCCGCACGCTGTCCGTCCGGCACATTTTCAACAAAAATTTTCGGTGAATCTTTGGGCTGGCATGGTGAACGGTATGCTCATTGGACCATTTATTCTCCCAAATCGATTGGACGGGATGCAATACCTAGACTTTTTACGCAACATTTTGCCTTCCTTGTTAGACGATGTGCCATTAAGTGTAAGACAATCAATGTGGTTTCTGCACGATGGTCATATTTGTTACCTCTGTTCGTGGTCTACTGGTCTGCATCACCGCCGGTGTCTGCTCGGTAGCGCATCAGCTGATTTCATTTTCTGTTGGAGCGGTATGATTTCGGGCAGAGACCAACTTAGCCCTTCTCGTCAACTGGAGAGTGAGTACTTTTTTCTTTATTTTTTTTTTTACTTGGTCGCCCTCGTTTCACTACACATTACCTTTGTTATTTCAAGGGTAGTTGTTTCTGAAAAGGAAAACCCCAACTTTGCGGACACCATGTATACCTCTCCATGTTCATAATGGTGTTGGCCTAAATAAAGCAAAACGAGGTACACATCACCTTAGTGTCAGCCGTATTTCATGGTTTTCTCATAAACTCGAGTGAACCGAGGTAAGACTGTAAAGAATACCTCAATAAGAACTTGATTAAGTAACACCAAAGACTCTTACCTCTCCATCTTCCAATGGTGTTAACCTCGAGTAGAAAGAGGTACAGATTACTTCAGTGTCAGATGTATATCTCGGTTTTCCCTTGGTCGCTGGTACTCCGTACCTTTCGTAGCACTCCTTATCGTTCCTGGCAAAGTACTGCCAGGGGAAGAAGTCTTCGCCATCCACGGAATGTTCCAGAACCCAAGCGCCTGGTCTTGGAGATATCGCTGATTGGATCACAACATATGCCACTTGATATACCTGAAACAAAAAGATAGAGATATTACATCGCACCAATTATGCGAGATATAGTGTGCAAGATCAAGGATGGCCTTCTCAAACAAGGTACGTATACCCCCCGTCCCAGTTATCAGAAAAATATAAGTCGTGTACATTTCAAATTATAGACTTTAAAGAAAAATCAGAAAAAATGACACCCTGTGATGAACTTTCAGTTCCTATTACTACAAATCTCAATTTCTTCTTAGACGGTTGGTGATGGACAGTGTCATACTCACACTCTACAATAAATGTCCAAACTGCCTTGACAACACTAATTTTCGACTGGATATGTGTAAACTTTTTCTCTCACTGCGACCCAGTAAAAAATCGAGTGGATTTAAGTCAGGTGAATGGGCGAATCACGAAATTATACCAAACCGCCCTATCCATTTGCTTGGATATTCCGTAAGAATTGTCACTTCATTTTGACTTGCCTTATTGCACTGAATCCGCGTATACCTCGAGAAAACTGTTGAAATATTTTATTACACTCTACTGCAACTATTGTTGGGGTGCAGCTCCGTTGATATTCTTGGAGGATAACAGATTTTCCAGTGGCAAACATTTTTTCGGCCAATACAGCGAAGAATTTTGACAAAAGATTTGACACCAATCATCTAGACTAGAAGAAAGTGATACTACCATACTGGGTACTCCATGAATAAGAAAAAAAGAAAATTGCTGAGATTGCTTCAGCTACGTCTGAGAGTGCTAAAATGGTGGTAACCAAACCAAGTGATGCACCAACGGAAACACCTAAAAACAGTGAGCGCCTTAGAACAACAAATGAGGAGCTAAAACAGGAAATAAAAATATTATATGAAAAAGTTAATTCATACAGTCAGTTATTAATATAAAAAGATAGATTGATTGAGCAACTAATTGAAAAATCAAGTATGACAAGCACTTCGTATTCGCAAATTGTAAAAAAGACCTACGCTACAAAAAGCAAGGAAATCCCATTGAAAAGCATAGTGATTATACCAAGTCAGCAACAAACAAGCCTCAAGACGCGTAAAGATCTAGACAAGCTTGTCTAAACTTCAAATCAAAATTGACGACGTGAAGAATTTTAGAAACGGTGGTGTGGAAATTAAGGTCCACGAACGTAATCATGCCCAGTTAAAGGAAGAAATTCAGAAAAAATTTCCAGCATCGTAAAATCAAAATCGTGGGCTACCATACAGATGAACGAATTACCGAAGAAGATATAGTAGAAGACATCACAAGAAAGAACCATTTCATAAAAAAGAAGATATTAAGATAAATTTTATTAAGTATATTGCACAAAAAAAAAAATTATATTATTTACGCAGAGGTCACAGGTAACTTATTTAAACAGATTTTTGAAGATTATAATGGAAAAATTCTATTAGGATTTCAAAATGTATCTGTATACAAAAATAATGAAGTGTCTCAGTGCACAAATTGTTTCCGATTTAATCATTCTGAAAAAAAATGCCAAAATCCTAAAGTCTGTGCTCAGTGTGGAGAAAACCATTTCCTTTTGTAAGCAGGCACATTCGAAATGTTGCAACTGTTTGTATTCAAATCACCAGTATAAAAAATCTTACAGTACCGATCATCTTCCGACAGACAAAAATTGCCCAGTGTATGAATTCTTTCAACAAAGACATCTCTCACGAATTTTATTTTGATCATTTTAGAATTATATAGAATACTCAAAATCTTTTCTAGATTATGTACGATTCAAATACTCTCAATGGCTGGTAGTAAAATGCTTATCGGACACTTGAATGTACGTTCCCTCATGTCTAGTTTTGATGCTATTGTAAATTTAATAGCATTAGAAAATTTTAATGTATTCGCGTGTTACAGAGACGTGGCTAAATGAAAATATTACTGATGATGTGGTTAATATTAGCAACTATTGTTTCTTGCGTTGTGATAGAGAACCTCGTGGTGGTGTAGTTGGAATCTATGTTAAATCAAATTTACATGCTGAAAAGGTAGATATTCATACAAATTTTGGTGATTTTTTCGAGAGCATTTGGGTTAAATTGGTTGCGGGTAAGTGTGAACTGTTAGTAGGTGTTTTGTACCGACCACCCTCTAAAAACATACAACAATGTGCAGATTTATTAAATGGTTTCCTACCCAGCCTCTCGTTATATCATCATAACATCGTGATATTGGGAGATCTGAATATGAATTTTTTTAATAACAATATATTCCCACTGAGTTTTGAGCTGATGGGGTTCACACAAATCGTAACGGAAGCCACCCGTGTCACAGATAGTACTGCAACATTAATCGATCCAATATTTTCAAATAATCCTCAAATATGCAGCTATTCTTCCATCACGGACACGAATGGTATTTCGGACCACAAACTCGTATTTTTTCATTTTGACATTCCATCTTATAAAGAAAACAAAAATTTATCACAATCAGGGATTTTAAACATTTCAGTGAGGATGATTTTCTTATCGATCTTTCTACATCGGGCATAGATGAATTATTTACGAAATCTAATATTGATGAGAAGGTAATGCACATTACAAGCGTTATCGTGGAGACCTACAATAAACATGCATCTTTTAAAACTGTAAGAGTTAATAAGCCACCATCACCTTGGTTAACTAATGAACTGCGCACTGTTCTTGACGAAAAGAATACTGCACAAGCTTTATATAAAACTAATAAGATCGTGGAAGCTTATAATAACTTCAAATCGCTTAGAAACCGTGCTCTTAACATGATCAGGAGGGACAAAAAGACATATATCGAAAATTTGGCAAATGAAAATGATTCAAAAAAATTGTGGAAGTCTCTCAAACAACTTGATATAAATTTTCGTAGTAAGCCAACCCTTCCGGCAAGTTTTAATGACCCTACCAAAATTAACGATTATTTCATGTCTGTTTATAGCTATAAACCTGTTGATTCACTAGTTTGCGAAAACTATTTCAAAAATAAATTAAGCTCTAAATATATTTTTTCATTGAATAAGATTAGTTCAAATGACGTATTACAGGCAATAGGGAGCCTAAAATCTGATGCGAAGGGAATTGATGGTATATCATTGTCAATGATCCAGCTTTGCCTGCCAGTTATTTTCCATCACATCGTCCACATCTTTAACGGCATCGCCTGTACATGGACCAATAAATTTAAGTTGAAACTGTAGAATGCAAATGACAAAAAAGGACAATAATTAGCTACAGTAGATTATGTATTTAGTTGATGTTCGTATTTATGAGTTTATGAATTTCAGTCCTAGATATAGAACGTAGCCACTTTTTTAAATTACTTTTGAAACAATTTCCGAAACGTAAATCTTTTAAGTCTTTAGGTATAATTTCATAAAATTTAGGCGCTAAATAGAGATATGATCGCTGCATTATAGATGTATGCGGTTGAGGAACTACTGTGCCACGAATTTTGTACCTGGTATAATGATTATGTTTAATTTTTTGGTCGGTGTTTACAAATTTATGGTAGTGAGTGATACTGTGTAAGAAATAAAGCTGTCTTATATCATACATTCGAACATCTGCGTATAATTTTTCAGTGGGATAAAGTTTCGGTTTTTTAAATATCATTTTTAGAATACTTTTTGAAAAACATCTAAATTATAGATATGTGAGGAACATGCAGCTCCCCATGCTAATATACCTTATGTGAGATGAGGCTCAATCAGTGCATGATATAATGTTCGAAGATATTTTTCTGTCAATATATTCTCAAGGTATTTAATTTTGTAGGATACAAATCTAACTTTCTTTAAAATATAATTGACATGGATGTCCCATCGTAAGTGAGGATCCAAGACCACTCCAAGGTATTTTATGTTGCGCACTCTATTAATTTGCATTTTTTGATCATTAATATTGAAGGAGAAATTTGTGTAATTTGGCAGATGTCTAGCATAAGATCCAAATGGTAAAAAATGTGTTTTAGAGTAGTTAGTGCTTAATTTTCTACTATTAAACCACCGAATAATTTTGATAAAATCATTTTCAATTACATTTTTCAGATCAAACCAGTCAGTGCCTTCATATAATATTGCAGTATCATCTGCAAAACTAGTTATTTTGCCAACACAATTAATTTGGAAAATATCATTTAAATATATATTGAATAACAGCGGACCTAAGACAGTTCCTTGTGGGACACCACACTTAATATACATTTCTTTACTAAATGATCCTGATATCTGCACAGATTGTGGGCGATTTGGCAAATAACTTTCGATCAGTGAGTACGCGTTTCCTCTGAAACCAATTCTCTCCAATGCTTCTAATAATAATTTGTGATTAACTGTGTCGAAAGCTTTCTTTAAATCAACAAAAATGCAGATTGAAGGGATTCTGTTATCAATATTTTGATGTATTTGATTTACAATTTTAGTTATTGCGTCCGATGTAGCCTTCCATTCTGTAAATCCATATTGATTTTCACTTAAAATTTTGAATTTTGTGAGGTATCGAATCATTCTAGTAGATAAAACTTTTTCAAAAACCTTTGCTACACTGGATATTATTGATATTGGTCTATAGTTGTTAACATCTGTTTTTGTTCCTGATTTATGTATCGGTATTATACTAAGTGACATATAAATCCGAACACCCAGTTTAAATGGTTTTATTTTAATAATGTGTGGATGCACCCTGATGTGCTACGCATTCTCCAACGCGCCTAGGCATGCTTCTGATCAGGTGGTCAATGTCCTCCTGTGGTATCTCATTCCAGGCAACCACCAACTCCTCTCGAAGTGCTTCTAGAGTCTGAGGAGGACGTTGCAAATTGAGCAATCTCCTACCCATCATATCCCACACGTGCTCAATTGGGGATAAGTCGGGAGATCTTGGTGGCCATGGTAACAATGTGACATCATTATGTATTGTGACTCTTGCAACATGTGGTCGGGCATTATCTTGTTGCAAAGTTGGATCTGCCAGGGTGTCAAGATAGGGTAAAAGATGGGGTTCTAGAACTTCGTGGATATAACGCTGCGCGTTCATGTTACCTCTGATGAAGATTAAAGGTGACCTGGAACCATAAGCT